GACTCACAGTCGTACCGAACCTCAGCTTCGGTATGAACTCGACCTGGCTGGCACCCACCCCAGTAACACCAACGAAGGTCGAAGGTATGACTGGACCCTCCTGGCACCCACCCCAGTCCCACCTTCTCGAAGGTACGAGAAGGTACGGCCTCGGTAGGGAACGCCTCTTGATCCACTCACTCGATGGGACTCAAAACCCGTCTTGTGACCCCTGGCAGACGCCTCTTGATCGAGGCCTTGCAAGCGCTCCGGGAAGGCTTAGCCCCGCCCCGGCGTCCGGAGCACCCAGAGAGGGGGCCACCGGCCGCCCCCCCGCGGCCGGCTTTAGGGAGGTGTTGGGAGGAATTGGGAGCCGATGGAAGGATGGATTTGGGGTTGGGGATGTTGGGCGATGAGACCATTGGACACTGAGATCAGAAGAATGAGACCATGTGGAGAGGGACCAAAAGAAAGCGAGCGACTCGGTCTTTCGACGAGGTGTTTGTTTCTGGAGTGCCACGTGTGTTTTTCTTAAAGATCTTAAAGACGTTTGGCAGCCAATATTGCTTTTCTCAATGGATCCAGTTACCACTAAAGTCGTATAGGTAACCAGTGTATATAACATTATGTAACCAGTGATTCCAAAGACTACAGTAAATCCTGTAGTAGACCCAGAAACCCTGGTTCCTTATTTCCACTGGGTTTCTGTCACCTGGCATGCCGCCAATGTGAGAAAGTTTTGACCGCATAGTAGATGTAGACAAGAAAAGAATCTTGTCGCCAACAGTCCTAGCTTTGCAGCAAAGGACGGCTGCATGCATGACGATTTAGAACCAAGTCCATGCGAGTGAATCCATGGAAGTGGATGGTGCTGGAAGACACATTGTAGATTTCAGTCTTGGGATCGAAGAACAGCAAGGTCGGATTGATCTATCCCATAGACTTCTCGAGCCCTGTGATCGGTGGTGCCTAGCCAGAATTCTCGAGCCCTCGAGAGGGTTGTTGAGATGTTGCCGCTCTGCAAGCCATCCGAAGTTGCCGTGCACTTGTTCACTGGTGACTGGGAATTTGCGGTGCCCACTAGAATCACTAGGCTCCAACCATGCTCCAACCATATCCTCAGAACGTGGTTGGGGTGGGTGTCAGGGGTCTAACCTCCTTCCGAGGATATGGTTGGAGCCCTAGGGCCCTAGGCGATATAGAAATGCTCTTTGCGCCAGAGCGGTGACACCGACATTGAGGCCTGCGGAAGCCCGTGAGCCTTTGCGATGCCGGGACACCGAGGAAGACGGATTGCTTCTGTTGGAGATGTTCTAAAGATACCCAGTTTGGGCCAGATTGGATGCTCACTGGAAACCAGATGTGGATGCTAGTGCGTGTTCTTTTTGAGTGGGTGCTGCTGGTACCTGGAATTGATGCGCTCAAAGAGCGTGCGGCACGTGACGTTTTGCATGCAACCAATGCTCCACGTTTCAGAGCCTGGGTGTACTGGCCGTGGCCCTATATTTCTTACATACTTGTTATTCCCTCAGTACTATAGTTAGTTATTTGTCTTACATATGTCCTATATTATTTGTGTTTGTGCTTTGTTGTTGTTTTTTCTCTCAGTACTATATAGTTTGTGGTCAGAGACCTCCAGTTTCTCACTAGTCTTCCGCATCGATGGGGTCCGATTTGCCGTCGTGGGTCGTGGGTGAGGTGGCCCGACGTGCCATGGACCAAAACACCATGGCCATGCTGGGGGTGATGCAGCAAACACCAAGAGATTTCGATGAGTGATCACCAGCTATGTGATGCTATTTGATGCAAGCATAGCCAATAGCGGACACGTATACAGCTATGTGTCGAGAATCGTGGCAAATTGGTTGGAAATCAGGGTCTGGGTAGACCAAACCCAGTGTCAATGATGAAATGCTGATGTTGGCCAGTACGAACCACTGAGATGTTCCTTAAAAACTAGGACCAGGATGTTTTCTTGTTTTGGACAGGTCCTGGATCATCACAACCTTTTGGATCCTTTTGGTACACAGTTGAAAGATCCTGTATAATCTCACCACCCCAAAGCATAATTGGTTATTTAAACATGTTTAAACTATACAATGCATGTGTACATCTCGGGTTCCGAGCTTTGAAAAGAGAATTTGTTCGTCTTGTCTCCGGCAGGATGAGCGACATGCTTCGACCTGATTCATGTCTCACACCCCATTTCTTTTGGATTCCCAGCCGTGCACCAGACCTGTCCAATGCCCGCTCAGTACTACACGGAGCCTGTGAGTTTGCCCAAATCCCGATGAGTCCGCGATGTCGTCTCCCTTGCCGCGTGAAAAACACCTGCGTGGGGAGTGGCTTTCTTAGGAGTTGAGAAGAGAGGCCTGATCTCTGGATGTCTCTATGAAGACAGACTTGTCCTTTTCGGGAGGCCTGCGTCAAATGGATAACAATGCCATGTCCCGAACATGTTGTTTTTGTTGTGGCAGCATGTTGTAACTATTAGACCTGGTAGAGCGTGGACGGAATGAAGCCAAACATTGAGTCGTTGATTAGAAGGAGCTCCCCCCAAGAGAAACCAAGTGGGGATGAATTCCAAAGTTACAGATCTTCACTAGCCCTAAAGGTCCAGGATCATTCTGATGATTTGAAAGGCCCCAGGTCGGCCATGCTCTGAAAGTACGTGCTCACCTCTGTTCTACTATCCTCAGGACGTACCTGGACCCTATGGGTGGAGTGGTCCCTGCATTGATTTTTGGCATACTAGGACTAAGCTATGTAAAAGTTGACTGGTTTCTATGGCAATTGTTTTTGTGGAACATACACACTGGAGACTCGAGACCACAGTTTGCGCACCAGATTCTTGATGTGTTTCCTATCTTAGATAGATTAGAATTGGCACCAGGTGTTCAACTTGATATCAGATGTTTTCTTCTTTTTAATGGGACACTTGAGCAGGTCGTTCAGGCATTCAGGATCGTGACCATCTTTGTCGATGCGTCCCAGAGGCGCCTGGCTGGCCAGGTTTGTTTCACTGGAGCGGTGCACTGATGAGACCATGCCAGAGCATGATTCAGAATGTTTCGAGCAGGCATAAAAGTACATGTTAATATACAAATATAATCAAATATATATATATATATTATGTCATATGTATATGTAAATACTGTGTAGAAATGTGTAGATAATTGTAGAACCAAATTGGTGAGAAAAAAAATAAGTTTTGGTGTACGGGTATATAATTAAACAAGTTTTGTCACTTGTAGGGAAAATGTGGTTGCAAAGAACCAGACGTGTCGAATGGAATCAGAGAAACAGTCCAGCACCACCCAGTTCGGGTGGTGACCATGGACCAGTGGGTCAGCATACCCAGAAACAGCAAGGCCTACCCGGTCAGTGGGTAATACTTTGAGTATTTTTTGGGGGGCAGTGGTTTTCCCATTAAAGTCCAACTGGTGGAAACAGTTTAACCTCCATTTTCCATGAGGGGTCAGAGGGAAAACTTCGGGACTTCATAAGCACTGCGTGTCAGTCGTTGGGGCAACCAGGGTTTCCCTTCCTGAGCCTCAGTTTCGTGGGGGGGCTTTTTGTGCTTCAGGCTTCAGGGAACGATCATCTCGTCGATGGATCTCGTCGATGCAGCCGAGTAGCAGCCGAAAAGCAGCAGATGTTCAAAGTAACATGCAAACATGATCCGAGCCTGGTGGATTGCAGTCCATCGGATTAGCCCAAACGCCGGCCATATATATATATACATATAGACCTGGAACACCAGGTACGGAGATAGACCGAAGAGTGTCAGAGTGTAGGGATTGCAAGGATTCATAAGTATGACTATAGGTAGATGTCATGTCATGTACATAAGTCATATCACTTTGCACAAGCATGCATGAACAAACATAGTGTTACATTACATCACTTCGAGAACAAAAAACATATATACAGTAGATGATATACATATATGATATAACATAAGTTCAGGATTCATGAGATACTGTGTTTGACCCCACAATAGGGCTCAGGGGTATAGAACAGAATGTCTTGGACCCCACTTTGTCATGTTTGTTATTTTGTTGTCATGTTTGTGTGTTTACGAACTACTGGAAATGGTCAAACCCAGTGGCGGGCGTACCGAAGGACCTCAGATGCTCAAAAAAGGTCCTCGATATCCATTTGAAGTGAACGTCTCTGCTCCTCATGACCTGTGCCAACCAACTGTGGAGTGTGTAATGCTCATGGTGCAAGACTTATATGGATAAACAAGCCTGTCTCTCACACAAAGTTTGGTCCCAAATACACACTGGCCACTTGCCATACATGTATATATATATTATAATATACACTAGGGGGATGCACATAATACGACTGGACCCTCCTGGCACCTACATAACAGTGTCTCCTTCCTCACCTTTTGAGAAGGTACTTGGATCCTATATGCATATATATATATATATTGTGTAAGTGTATAGTCAGTTTTTGTCCTTTCGAGGAGACGCAATAGGGTAGGATGATGAATTGATGCCCTCCACCAGGGTCGAGGAGAGATCTTTTTCCACGGACTCCATCAGAGCAGTGGACTCAGAAAAATGCTGAGAACCGCTGCGCTCCTTTACCAGGGCCGTTCGCCACAACAATTTCCCTACAAAGACAGGCCGTTGGTTTCCGCGAGTAGAGCCGAGCACAAAGGGCAGGCACTCCTTGTTTGGTTTTTAAGGGCAAAGCATCCACTGCAAAGAGTCATATAGTGTAGTTGTTCCTGTAATCTTTTCAGGATCTGTCCGTTGACCCTGGTGGCTTGTTTGTCAAACAGAGGCTGGCGGGTAGAGAACACCACATAGTAAAGGGCCCCTAAGACGCTCATGTTGCACTCTTCAGGGTTTCCAACCTCACGATTTCACGTTCTACTTGCACAAACCTTAGTCTTCCTGTTGCTGGGTCCTTCATTTTTCTTCAACCATCTGCACACCGTCCACCGACGTCATACGGAAAACCCAGGTCCACCGACTTGGAACGCTACGTCCCATCGCTTCGAGGCGAACACCTTCTCGCAGAACCGCCTGCCCTTCGGGATTCAGGTCACCGACGTCGGCCACGTCGCAGCGGTTTGGGGGTCCGGCCGTTTTCCCAAAAAGGGGAGTGATCTAGATGGGTAGAACACCTAGGTGGTTGCGAGTATGTGTTCAATTGTTTTCATATAGTTCTATATCTCAGGGTGATCGATCGAGTTTAGGATCGATCGAGTCACGTCCGCCGACCTGTCGTTCAGCCTGCGAAGAGTCGTGGCTTTAACACTGCCACTGAACACACTGAACAACGAAGATGTGTATAGAGCTCCAAATCTAGTTAAGAAGAAACACAAAAAATAACATATTAAGAGTCTATATACACAACTTCAGGGTCTTCAATTCTTTCTAACCGGGTCCTATATAGCATATTTGTGGGGTCACGTGGATGGAAGCCCCCACAGTACTTGTGGATCTCCAGCCAGGAGAAATGTAGGCTTTTCCATGGGTTTCCTTTGCTCCCAGAATCCATTTGAACATTTCTCCCTTGCCGCACACGCAAAAAGTCTCAAAAGACCTTGTACTGTAGATCATGCGCCTTTTGGGACAGCTATTGATTGTCATACAAACAGTCCCAAATCAACTCCTCGTCCACTTTCCTGTTGAAATTACTATATTGCATACTATGCCCAAACACTTATATTCCATAATATGTATATATATACTGTATGCATTCCTTCATGGACCCTTGAAACCACCCCAATGTAGGCCAATACCTGGACAATACTTTGCCACCTCGAAAGCCCACAAATTCGGGTTCGATCAAAGCACTGTTGACCAGGAGGCGCCTTCGCCTTTCTGCCCTGCTTGCTGGGGCAACTCTAGATCTTTTTGACGGATTTTTCAAAACCTTTTGGCCAATCTCCCAAACGTTTTCCACCCACAACCACCAAGCCCTTTCTGTTCGATCAAACAACGCTTCTCCCTTGCAAACAAAACGACCAACCCGTTTTCCGTCATGTCGACGTGACGTTGACGGCGAGCCGCGCGGAGTCTCCGATGGTCCTGGTGCTGGACGCCAAGAGCCTCGAAGAAGGGCAGATCATCGGGCGTGCGCCTCACGGGACGAGGGACCCGCGTCGCGCCTGGACCGTGATGAAAGAGCGGTTCTTTTCTTGTGGTGCTTGGGATGAGGTTGGTAGGGTTTCACGGTGCTGGGGCAAGTAAAGTGTTTTCTCATCCTGTAAAGTGTTTTCCACTCTCCACTCTCCTCGACGGCACTCGATGTGACGATGACCACACGACAGGTCCGGCTCGGAGGAGCCCCCAGAGCCCATCAACGGGCAACGTAGCCCGTCGCGTCGCGCCTCGCATGCGGGACAAATGGGTATACCAAACGAAAGTCGCAGCGAGGCCTCAGAAGCCTGGACGAAGAACACGCAGGCCCAACAGGTCCCCAACTCCGACTCAAACATCATCAATCAGAGCACCGAAATGGCGGTGAAACCCAGCAAAAACAATAAGAAAATAACAACGACCTCCTACTGCAGCTTGCATGAGCCAGATCAAGGTTCTCTCGATGTTGATTACTGATTACTTCTCATGGAAGTGGTGTTTAGCTAGTTGTCTTACTGAGAAATCTGCTTGTCCTCAAGCCTTGATAGACGCTTGTCCACCATGTAGATCTCTTATTGAACATAAGGCATATACGATATATAATAATAATATGCGTGGATGGCTTCCTACTGTATGCGCGCATGTTGACTTTTCACATGCTGTGTCATATCTTGGTGAGGCAATGCAAGGTGGTTGAGAGGTATTGAAGTCAGTGCATATGCATGTTGTTTCTGAGGACTTTCGTTTCTTTTATGAATTGGTGCCTGCGGCAAGGAAAGCACTAATTTTTGAAGACTTTGTGCCTTGCAATTGCTGGGTCATCTATACCGACTTCGAGTACCTCCACATTTTTTGTGACTGACCGCTCCTGGTCAGTGTACTTGGTGCAAAACAGGATGAATGACCAGGAAGCAGTCCAACCGAGCCATTTCTTGTCGGCACCAGATTGGTCCAATGATGTTCTGACAGATTGTCAGGAAACGCTTCAAGCAGAGGATCCAAGGGATTGGTGGATTCCTTGGTCGTGGATTCTCGGAGGTGAAAGGCGGGACACACCTCTGATTCTTGACTCTACACATGCAGACAGACTACTGATGGAGTGGCAGTTGGCGAGAACAGGCAAGGTCTCTTTGTCCATGCAGGTCTCAGTCGGGGAGTCGGCGGAACGAAGATCTCCCGATGTCCTGCCGCAGGCGCAGTTTGCTGGCAGGCAGGCGCTGATGGGAGAAGGCCCTGAGGGCCCTGCAGAAGGCTAGAAGCATCTAAATTGGACGAATTCGTAGGTCATCAGGCAGGAACATGAGCGACCTGGGTTCAAAGACACCCACCCTATCCACCTTGACCCTGCAGTCTTCTTTGCCATCTGTCATGTTCATCAACGTTCCATCGGCGAGAATGGTTCAATACAGGCAGAAGTGAGGAACCTACAAGGAAGCCCGCTATACCCAAAGGCCAGGTGTGATGTCTGCAAGCAAGTTCGCTGCTTTGATGCCTTTGCCTTTGAGCAATGGGAGAGGATCCGGGTGAATGGAACGGCCCAGTGCATGCAGCGCAAGCACGGGTGAATGGAACGGCCCCACCCCAGCGCTGCTGAAACCATTCGAAGCAGTTGGTTTTGCTCTTCTTTCGCTGCTTCTTTCGCACCCTCCGGAAGGCGAAAAGCTGGTCAACTTCAGCGGCTGGTCATCCCTGGACTGGTCCGGACAGACTGCATGGTCCGGAGGGACTTCATTGAATCAGGGGCATCACGGCGTACTGGTTTGCAAAGCCCATATCCCAGCCAGACAAGTTGAACCTGGCCTTTGTTGAGACCAGAAGCCTGGGCTGGATTTAGGTGACCACATGGGCCAACCAGTCAAGCATCGCGAACTACGGACTTGTGCGAGATCTAATGGCCTGGTGGAAGAACAACAGGGAGGATATGAATCGGTCCACTTCATGTATATCCAATCCAGGAACTCCGGGATACCTACCATCCGGCGCGGGCGCCGTTGAACCAAGGGAATACGATCAGCCCTTGTTCTGCGTCTTGCATGTCGATGAGTGGTTGCAGGAAGGCTACCCACCGCATTTTTCTTACAATGGCGTAGTTCTCACCGACAGGGACTCAGCAGAAAAACTAGATCTATAAGCAGTGGATGTACACGAACGATGCAAGAAACGCAGTGTCAAGCAAGTAGGTTGCACACCTCGAAAAAGATTTTCCACCAATGTAAGATGCATAATCTATACATTAGGCCCGACATGATGCTGAAGCACCAGCGCTAGGTGCACCAGGTGTATGTACACGCAAGCGCACAATTCATAAACGCACCAAGGTTGAGACCGAGACACAACCACAGCGTAAGCGAGACGCCAAAACATCAGCGAACCAGCGCCACGGAACCGATACACCAAACAACAAAGCAAAACAAAGACACCACGAAAACACAACCGGCACATCACCCAACCATGAGCAAGACACCAAAGCATGACCCACACACCAAACACGACCGAGACACCACCTAAACATGATCGAGAGACCACGTAAACATGACCATGACACCACCTACAGTAAACATCACCGAGACACCAGCCCTTTAGCCTTCCCCATATGTGAAGAGCTAGAGATTCCTAACGACTAACGCTACGTTTTACGATTTGTCCTGTGGTTTTGTACTCAACATGAAGTCCAGCAGTGGAAGACTCCGTCGTAGTTTTTTCTGTGCAGAGGACAGCAGTATATTTGAGAATTGTGAGTGTAGACTCACTTTATACTCTCAGCTTAAACGGTGCTTCAACATTTTACTGCTCAAAGGTGGTGTGTAGGTGGGTTCAGGATTTCCATCCAAAAGAATTGAGTGGATCTAAGGTGTTTCCCATTACTTGTGTTATGTTTGAAAAAGGCAATTGTTTTAACTTTATACTAACCATCATCATCCGGAATGTACTGTACCCCAAAGTGGATCTAGTAGATCGCTACCATCGGTCTTCCGGTGTTAGCTTGTAACAGCCTAAATCCATCACTCCAACCCACGATCGACCCCTGATTCTAGACTCGGAACATTCCAACCACCGCCAGACTCAGACCGAGCGATTCTCACCCCGCAACAGTCGTGTCTATCCGCCAGTCGTCGGTTGTTCTGTCCACTCAGGGTTCTCCAAGAAGGGGACCTCATCGGAGCGAGCCTGGTGGAGGCGTGGCGGTCCGGTGTCACGACCCGCGACTCGGTAGATGGGGTGTGAGATGGTGTGAGGCGGCAAGCACAATAGAGGCGTTGTTAGAAAATGTTAGAATGAATCGTTGTTAGAGGAGTCCTGAAAATTTGTGGACAGATCATTTGATCATGGACTCATGGTATCTTTTTCGGAGGTGCGGAAGGTATGTTGTTTTTGTTGGTTAACTTATTGTTTTACTAGTTGAAGATGTTGGAATCACAGAATGGCAAACAGGGAGCCACGGAGCTACAATGAGTTCCCCAAACCCTTGCTAGCAATTGAGGTGAAAAAAAGCAGATCATAACTTTTATCCACGCTCAAAAGAGGGTTTGGTGTCGAACACATTCCATTGGCTGTGTGGCACATCAACATTCGGATTTATCGGATCTGTCTCCAAATCAGGCATTTGATGTCCGTTTGATTGCAAGCTTTTGCTGTGTTTGATTACTTTGCCCGGTCTTACTCCAGGGTGTTTTGCAACTCAGAGAGCCACATGAATTTACACAGTTTCACAGCTGACTCGAATTAGTAATTCGGAATTTGCAAAACCTTTAAGGCGGGTAATGCATTTCTGCAACACTCCCAGTCATGTCCTGTACAATGTGACAAAAGGGCTATGTGATGGCGTTTGAAAAACAACTAGATCGCAAGTCGTGTTTCCAAAGAGGTGCTTATTGGAGGGTAGTGGTGCCGAGAACATCCACTGAGGGACTAAATGCCACCACAACCAGGAGCTCTGGTTGTTTTTTGAACACAAACTACCAGAATGTCTCTCTAGGAAAACCATGATTGGGACCAATACTCGCACCAATCAGAAGAATGGACCGGAAGCTTAGGCATCAAATCGATCTTTTTCGATCCCGGCACCGTGAAGCTGCGGAGCAGTATCGCTTCCCTATACGCGTTGACGAGCCTCGCGTCGTTCAGCACCCTTGGGTGATGCTGCCGGAGAATTCCTTCGTGCGGCATCCGAAGATGAGACAGGCCGTGTCTGGCGCACTGTGTGTGTGTGACTTCTGCGGTGTAGCAACAAGCAGACTAAGTTCATGTCAGGAGTTCAATTGATGTTAAATTGTATTTGGTACATTCGGAGATAAGAATAGTGGATAAAAAAGTGTGGGCAAGCTGATTGTACATTGTAGCTGGTGGGTAAATAAGCACACGAGAAACTGATATGTGGATCTCATGTTTCTGTGTCGGGCTGTGGCAGGACATCTATTCTGTCCAATCTGGTGCTAAGAGGAGGACCCTGTTCCATCAGACCCAATACATACTCCAGACACGACACATTGGAAATCATGGGACTGCCATATATACCGATCAGTTGACCCCCAGGTCAACTACCCCAATTGATCGGCATAGATGGCAGTCCCATGGGTCGTGTCTGGGTACCGTTTCAGAAGCTTTCACCCTCCGGCCATTGTCCTGGTTCGTTCACCGTCCAGAGCTGCCGAGCTGATCTCCATCTGCCCGTTTCAGTCCCCCAACATGAAAGCGGAACCTGTCCTGCTCGAAGAGGAAATCGAGTCTTGCTAGATTTCTGAGACTTGGAATATATATATATATATATATCGTATATATGTTATATACATAAGAGGGTTCTATATAGGGTTCTTCTCCTTTTCTTTCCAGGGATTGCATGGCATGGCCCATGTGTTCTCGCCCAACCCTCTCTGGGCCAGGGCCGGATTAAGCTGCTTCGCCCCGGCTGGGTCATGAGTCAACACCCGCAGTATGGCGTGGCTCGGAGGACATGGCCCGAAGGGGGGCGGCCGAACGGAGCCCAAACGGGTAGTATGGTGTTTGGTGGATGAGATGGGTGAGTATGAATCCCATTTGACCGTTTTGATAGGAAAAGACCGTGTTCTAGCATGTTCTAGCTCCAAAACAGAGGTCAATCCGGTTCTAGGTATATGTTAATGCAGTATATTATGTATGATGTACCAGAACATCAATGTATTATATATATATATTTGTCATACCAGGGCCCCTCCTTTTGTGTGATGTATTGAAGAGCCTCCGACAAGAGGTGATTTGGGGCATTTTGGGGGTGTCCATCAACTCCACCCATTGTGAGTCCGGGTTTATGTTTTGCTTTGGTCGAGTTGATTTGAGCAACACTGTGCATGTCATACGTGGATCCAGTGACTCAGTAGCTTGGATTTTGAGTAAGATTCATTAACCAGTGGATCCAGTTATCACTATCCCTATGGCTCCAACCATATCCTCAGAAGGTGGTTGGACCCCCCTGGCACCCACCCCAACCACCTTTTGAGGAGCTAGTTGGAGCCCTAAATATAGCTGGTCACCAGTCGTTCTTCAAAACTGGTGGCTGCCTGGCATCCTTTCATAGCTGCTGGCTACCCGTGCTCCACCTGTCGCTCCTTCTTCATCGTTCCGGACGACAGAGCGTGGACAGAGCAGCTCTCCTTCTGACTCCACACGTCGCTTGTGCAGTCGCGGGTTCACCAAAGCCCTGAAAAAGGGGCAGGCAGATGCTAGGGGCAGGCAGTCGCTTGACAGGGAATCCAATCCGGAGAAGGCTGATGCATCTAAAGTTTCCAGATAGAATCATGAACAATAAAGCTTCACAAAGTCACATTGTACTACCAGGTGCGTGTGTAGCTTAAACAGACATGGAACTGATCAAAAACCATCAACAACCCGTGATCTTCTGGTGCACAACATCCGACAAAGAGTCTTTCTACCGGTACTGAAATACTTGTTGTCAAATGGTGCACGGTGAGATTCCCCATGTGTCCCCGACTCGCGCCATGGCGGTACAGCACCTCATCCCCTGAGCGAGTCATCAGTGGATTTGTTACCACTTTTGGGGGAGCCGCCTATAGAGCAAGTAAATCAGGTGGCACGGCACATGTGGCACTCAAATGTACAGATACAGAACTGTCATCAGATAATTATGCGAGCAACAGGATTTGTCCATCCAAGAGTATGGGCTTCTGGGCCCATTCCATTCGATATCACCTACACCCTGGAAGACTAACATGGACCCTGAAAACCACTGGTTGGTAGAGGAAAACAATCTTCCATGGGGGCCATTGTCAGGGTCCATGTTAACGTGAGAACATGTAACCGATGGTCGCAACCAACATATGGGCGGTGTGTTTTTGTTGACCTGGTCCCTAGAATGGCACACCGCCAGTCGTTTGCCCACCGAGGATCTCTTGCATGCGGTGAGCATGGATCAGGCGTCCCAAGTGCGACAAAGAGGTGAAACACTAAGGATCCCTGGGTTGATCTAAGGGTCCCTGGGTTGATTTGGGTTCTTTGCTTGAGTGATTTTAAGTGACATTTCTGCGAAGAGCAGAAACTCTTGCGGAAAACCAGGTGAGCGGTCGTTTTCTCCAAATCGAACCACTTTTTTTGCCGTTTGCTTCTTCTTTGGGTTGAGTCAAGCGTTAACTATATGTTTGGCACAGGTCTGACCATCATCCGCGCAGATGTTGGATGAATTTGCATGGAAGTAGAGACCACTGGCGTCCGATTTGGCCTCCAAGAGTGGCCTTTCGCTGATGCGTTTTTACCTTGTAGCATCTCACAGCTCAACCAGCCATTCAGGCGAATATGGAAATTCTAGCTCAAAATCGGGAGACAGGGAGACCTCCTTCCCGCCAACAAAAACCTGTCTACCCAACCAGGGGAGCTGGGTACCAGGAGCTGGTTTCATAGACCGTGTGTGTTTGATTAGCTGGACTGTGACAGTCGGTAATAGATTATCACGATTTTTGAGAATGGGATATCCCAGACGCTCATGGACCCTCCTAAGTAGGGGTCCGGACCCTCAAATCCCTAGGGTTTTGAGGGACCAAGAGCTGTTTGGAGCGTCTGGGATATATAATGATATATATATATATACCTAAGACAGCTCACAGCTCCATCCCGAGACCCCTACCGGCAGGGACTTGCCTTCTTTTCATCGACCCAGACCGCCATGGAAGAACTGTGTACCTCGAGGAGATAGACCCAGATGCATCCAGCCTGGCTTGGCTCGTGGTTGTGCGGACGTATGTGGGAGGTCTCCCTTTCAGAGGTCTTGGAGGTCGGTTTTGAACCAAACCATCAATCCAATACATTGCTTCGGCCTCGCGCTTCGGCCCGGGGAGACCATCTAGGTTGAGATGGAACAAAACCCGGTTCAGAAGTCCTATTGTCTCCTATTCCTATAGGGTCCAGGTATCTCGTTTAGGGAGGGTGAAACGGAGGTGAGTAATTACGCACTTCCAGAGGATTGGTCCAAGGAACCTCCGGGAAATGGATGCTCCTCAACCTCTAGAGCTGATAGATAGAGGGCTTCATTTGGTGGTTTTGGGTGGTGAATGTAGGCCGTATTGCCGCCACCATAGAGTCTGTTGGGCTTTTCAATCCCTTCAAAGCGTTTCTCTCTAGAAACATCCGACAGCACGCCAGGTCAGAAAGCTCTTCGCAGAGGAGGCGATGGCGATGCCACGTCGCGAGACGTCGCAAGGTTCGATTGTTAGATCGTTGAAACAAATGGGTAATTATTTGAATAGGGAGACCCCTTGCTGGCAACAGGGAGACCTTTTGGCGGTACGTTGCGGTACCGCAATTGACTTCCCTGGAGTCTTAGATGGAATGACTTCGGGTTTCTGTTTCTCTACCAGCTTTCATCAAGGCAGTCAATGGGCATCACGTGGCAGAACTCCGTGCCATGGGCCGGGTCGTGATGGAGTCCCTATAGTCATGAGGTGGTGGATAGCTAGTTGCAGCTAGTTGGTAGGAACTGTGCAGATTCTCGGGTCAACAACCCTCTTCTGTGTCAGGGTAAACCCTTGCCCTGCCAGTTGGATGAACTGACACGCAGTGGAACCCCACTTCGAGCGACGCAGGCCTTTGCCAAGCTCCCAATGGTGAAAGAGGCCGCCCAAACGAGCCACGGTGGCAGTTGGGCAGATGCACAACTCCCAACAACCTATGATATGTGGATAAGTTTGGATAAGTTTGGGTAAATGTTGTTGGGTGCATGGGCCTTTTTGTTTGTGGGGTACCTGGGCATGCCCCTGAACTTCAATAGAGCCTGGAGAGAGGATTGCCAGCTTCGCTTCCCGGTCCCTTGCTCCCCTGGTTGGTTCGGTCACTGGATGGGACTCCAGAAAGGCCGAGCGGTGACCAAGACCACCCACCCGCCCACCGAACCGATTGCCGGAGGGGGCGGCCAGGAGCCCTATAGGATTTACCTACAGACCCTAAAGACATCTGAAGATCACCCACTGGCCTGATCGGCTAAAGACAATCCAGTCCCATGGACGAAGTAGGGGCAATGATTCTGGAGCCTGGAATAGTCTATGAAGATCTATGAAGTGCAAGAGGAGTGGCACCCTTCCAGGAAGTCATCAAAACATCAAAACCCATTTTCGTGTATTACTTCCTTGAGAGCACCAGAGACATCTAATACTATCTAATAATACTATCGGTGTGTTTTCAGTATGTGGAAAAAGGCCGCAAAAGCATGTTGTGTCCGGTCTTCCGGGCCAAACCATGAACCACCATCACACGGAGGTCGGTGGCGAAAAAACCACCACCCTCGCCGTGGTCAGTTGCTGTGTCTTCCGCTTCCGTGGGTCACTCCGCCCGCACCAAAGCCCATCAGACTGTTCCGAGACTCGGACCGCAACGGTGGTGGTTTCTAGTCTAAGGGGCTATGAAGATAGACTTCCCAGTAGACTTCCCGAAAACTAGGGTGCCCTAGATAGCACACTGTGGATCTCAAAAGATAGGAACTGACCCCACTTCGTGACCCGGCCGGACATCCATGTGTTGATTCTTCATTCAGGTGGGTCCGTGGAATGTTTGGTGGAGCCAGAAAGAGTGGTTCCTACGAATGGAAGAAGAGATCCGGAAACGACATAGATCCTCTCTCCCACAGAAGAAAACACATGGAGTTCCTTGATTCAAGCAAAATTGCAGAGCTTTACGACCCCTTTCGCCCTGTTTCACGGAGACTGGAAACGCAGCCAACCCCTTGTCCTGCTGAGGAACAATAAGCCAGTGGAGGGTGGGGGTGAGCCCCAAGGTTATCCTGGGTCAAGGCTGGGCGGGATTGGGCGACAGTCACAACAGTCAGCAGTCTCGATATCAATCGTTCGCCCCCCCTTTGTTTGAGGAACTCGGTGAGAAGAGTAACAGAGTATAGATATATATATATAGGGATTCCTAGGGCTGGCCCATATCCTCAGGTTCGGTGGTTAGACCCCCTGGCACCCGCCCCAACCACCTTCGAAACGGAGGTAGTTGGTGCCCTAGGAGTAGATAGTTTGGTCACATGTGGTCCAGTGGTCACCCTGCAAAAACACGAGGATTCTTCACCACATCGCTAAAGGCATCGGCCCCCTCTCCTGGTTGGTTCGGAAAGAGCTCCACCCAAATCAGCAAACTCCATGTGTTTAAATTCCGTGGTGCGGCCTTCGACCATTTCTAAAAGCATCCGGTTTTGTAGTGTGAAATTGCAAATACAGTCATTCTATAGGGTCTAGGGTTCGGTTCGTTACTTACTTTGCAGGTCCTTAAGCTAGTTTGGTACCCTTTGGTCTGGCCCACTTCTTCCGTCCGTCCGAATCCGGTCGCTGGGGGGTGCCAAAATGGCGTTTTCAATAGGTCTACGGTGGCGGGCAAAGCTCAGGTCATAGGGGTTTGGATGGCTGGACAGACCCCCTGTCATAGATAGAAAGTAGATTCTCCCCAAAAGAATGTATTGGAAAGCGTGCCATTATAAAGTACGCAGGCTTTGGAGTCATTGCAAGCCGCACATTATTGGAACCAACAAGGAGTACATTGTGTTTCTTCAACCATTTCCAACCAAAAATCACACCTTCATATCTCAATCCATGCCTCCAGACTCCAAACCTTCAGTTCGTGGACCTTGATCAAAAAACCGACACTTTCCGGCGAACGGACTGCCTCAGTTGGGTTCGCTGGCCAAACGACCAGAGACCGCCCTTCGCAGCTGCCCAGGGCGCCAGCTGAGCCCAGACGCCCAGAGACCGCGCGGGTCAGGTCCGCGGCGTCCAGCACACCAGGGTGGTCCAGGCGGTTCAGCCAGGGTGTCGCTCTTTTGGTGTTGTTTTCACCAGCGAAGCGACACCCTGGTCTTCAGTCTTCAGTGTTTTTGTCTTATTGTCAGGTCTTTTGCAATGTTTTGGGTCAGTCTTTGGTGGTTGATCGCTGGAAAAGGTGGAGATGGGACCTGTACACTTTCTGGGGTCCAACTCTGCCACTGTTTCTTTACAATCTTTGGATCTCGTCACTCCCATGGCACTCATTTCCCAGGCACACAACATAGTCTGATGGCGCCAGAACGCCTCACCATGCCTCACCCAATCCAGTGAACACCATCCCCAATCTCCTGTGCCGTGGATGTTTTTGGCTCCAGTACCTCCTCAGGTTCGGTACGATTGCACCCTCGCCACCCCAACGCCAACCCCAAACACCTTCTCAGAAGCTACGGCTGGAGCCCTGTGAAAAAAGAACAACAACAAAAACTATAGGCCTAGGGATAGAACCTTCTCAGCTTCGGTACGCAACCACACCCCTCCTGGCACCGTCTCATAATAAACAGTGTCTCCTTCCTCACCTTCGTGGATCCCGAGGGATGGAGAAGAAGGCACCACCATCCCAGTCTGGGCCATGCCATTCATGGTGGTCGATTCTTCGGAGTCTACCCGGAACATCCCCACCAGCGGCGGTGACCCGCACCGCCCAGTTTCGCGCATGGGTTTCCTCCAACGAGGTCCTCGGGCCTGAAACCGAGGCCGAAAGCGACGCCTGCGCCCAGTCAGTGTGGTGCTCAGAGAATCAGCGGCGCTAATCACCCCTTTTTTCTCCCACCCGTATTGACTGGGTATTCGAAGATGTGCATTTGCATTGGGTATGATGCCCACCACAGAACTTGGAATGACCTGAAACACACTATGAAGCAGAGTGGTTTATGGAAATCTTTCCTGAGTGTAGGAATGATCTTCACCATAAACCACTCATGACTCATGATCGCCCTGCCGCCCAGCCATCAGCGGATCAGCCAGCGGATCAGCGGATCAGTCAGCGGATCAGCGGATCAGCCATGGCAGCAGAGCAGCGGGTCAGCCGGTGGATCAGCGGATCAGCGGATAAGCAGATCGGCGTTCTTTCGGGGTGTCTCCTGGTGTTTGAAATCTTTGCAGGAGTGCATGCGCAAGAGCAGCTGGAAGCAAGATCTTTGCGCATCGCTGCAGACCATTTGAAGAGGGCATTTGCCTTTTGCTTTGGTCAAATCTGTTGGCTTCCCAAATGCTTTCCGACTCGTTAAGAACATTGTTCCAAGCATTGTTGAAGAAATACCATTTCCATGTGTGCAACTTGTGGTGCCAAATTTTTGATTTCTAACCCCATGCTTAGGTCCACGCAAGCAAGGCCTTTGCTTTGGATGAGGAGGGAGAAGCACTAATGTAGCAGACTCTTCCCATTCCTTTGAGACCTTCCCCCCTCTCACAAGGTGTCCATCAAGGCTGCCCCTTGAGCCCATATCTCTTCATTCTTGTTCTATATGCGCAACGTCCATACATCATTTCACGCCATGGGCTTTCTCCACATGTACCCCACTCTCCGATAACGCATGTGCGCACGATACCGTCCTCATTGCTCGCGCCCAACTCACTTTGCATCGCCTCCTGCACACTCTCCAACATGAAGCATGCAAACGCGGGCTTCTCCTTAACCCACAAAGTTGCCAACTTCTCTAAGATCATACCGATCTTCTACATCTCTCGCCACCCCCACCACCCTTATAATTGCCAACATCGCACTGGTGCCGCAGCACTTGGCGCCCCTCTCTGTGCTTTTAAATACAGCGAAATACCTCGGCTCTTGTATACCCAGCGACGCCTCTTCGTCTGCAGACTGCAGCTATCAATTTGATACTCCCAAGCTTCTGGCGCAATTTGTTCCCTCATTCCCGTTTTTACTAACCGCCCCACCATCCCGACAAAACGTCGGCTTGATGTGTACTCCCAAATTGTACTCGCAATTCTACTGCACGGGTGTGAGTCCCAAGTCTATACTCTTGCGCAAATCGTCAAATTAATCCCTTCACTACAAGGTTTATATAAATGTTCATATCATTATCATAGGGTTCTCCTTCCTCCCATTAGGCATCCTCAAATGACTATCCTCCTTTCACTTGCCTTCCGGCATGCCCTTCGTCTCCTCATCCCCAGTCCACGCATTTCAGTCCCGTGAGTCCGGTACTTAGGCCACATCATCAGACCTTTCGATTACGTAGACCACAATAGTTTCTTTTCACCTCTCCCACTCCTTGCGCCGCCTCTCCTCTCCTATTCGAGCTGGTAGACCCCGAACCCACTGGCCCGAAATTGTTTTGGCCGAAGGATACCACCGTGGCCTCCAACTACAACAGCACCAGCACCCAGACGTTCTCCATCCGATATACCAACTTGGTACAACCGCTACGGTATGCTACGGTGCAACAAAATTACATTTATGTTGGCCCCTCTTTTCTGACCGACTGCCCGAATTTACGGCGCTCACCACCCCCTCGCAGAGGAACGTATCATTTTAGTTGTTTCAATGAAAATAAGATACGTGTAGTCCATTCACAATGGGTAACCAGCAATGAAATCTTCTGGATGATAAATGACCGCAGGATGGGAATATATAGACTACCAGTCAGTTCAATGCAGGAAGGTCAAGGGGCTCCAGGTTTTGACTCAGAGCCATTTAGGTAGCCATGGAAAAAATAGACGGTGGGTTATATAGAGAGACGTTGTCAGCCACGTTTTGAGCAACAGTAGTAATTACTACAGTTGTTGGCATAAACATGTTTGAACATCTTGAATCGGAGCTTGTCCGTTTAAAGTCACATGTTCCGATTCAATTGATTGGTTTCAATATGTGTCCATCACATATTTCTGCAGGCTCCCTTCCCTTGCCCTCTCAGAAACTGGCAGTGTATAGTAATTGGATCCGTACTAGAGGGGTCACAGAGTTCAGACTCTCCTTGTGCCACGAAGGCCCAAAGCGCCACCAGCACCAGCAGCTTCGGCTCAGTGGTCGAACTCAGTCTTTCCAGGGCGTCTGGAAAAAAGGGCCACAAACTGATGGTTCTGGGTACTTCATAGATCCACATAGAGCTCTGAGTAGGTGGCTTCTGGGGGCGTGTAGCTGGTAGGTTTGCAGAGTCCGCACCTGAATAAGCGAAGATACACTCCGAAGAATACGTCGCATGGAAGTGGAATGGTTGCCCCTGTTGGCGGGTCTGTGCCAATTCCATGTTATGTACGGTGAGTCAGTTGGTGGTTGGGGATCTCTCGACTTGCATGGTTTTCCGACATGCTAGGAGCCTGTGAGCGGTGGTAGCTGGTGGTTGGACACACGCAACCTGCAACCTGGAGCTGGAGTATGCATATATAGTTAATTTGATCAGATTTGAGCATCCAGGAGATAAAAGACAATCAAATATGGATAACATGTAAGTCAGTCCCTAACACCGTGTTGAGAAGGATGTTTTCGGCCTTGTCGTCCTTAACAAGAACCCCTTTTGTTTTCAGGGACAGTTG